ACAGCTGTTAGGTATTTTATCCTCTTACTTAATTTAAACTCAATGGGAACTTCACCAAAATAAAAAATGAAAGGAAACAATCTCCAAATAAAAACAGGAACCAGCCTTTTATGAGCATCTCTCAACGCTGTCATTATCATTAGGGAAGAATTCCCAAGGCCTGCTCGAAAATGGATATAATTACCATCATTTACCAAAACTCCCATTCTTGTATTTGGAGTTGAAGCTCTTTGAGGTGATGCAGACACTTCCTAAATGTGCTTTTTAAAGACACAACATGTAGTTTTTCCCCAGTAAACTCTGGAAATATCTATTAAAATTCTGTTGAAAATGAATTAACTGATGCCCAGTTGTTGAAAAATATTGTCGGCTTTGTAACATATAACCATAAAAATCTGGTCTAAAATACAGGTCTAAGTCTTTGAGCGACACAATATTAGATGCAGTGCTTCCTTCTACGTGAGCCTGTGAGGACAAAACACATTTGCTGATGTGTTACATAAAACTTGTTGTTTTACACATTTATTCCTTTTTGCCAGAGGTTGAACAGTCTGATGAAGTATTTGTTAAAATAATTGCACTCCCACTGATTTTTGACCTTAATGGCCATCCGGTGGTAAGGTCTTACTTGAACACAAACAAACTGCATGCATGCAGTGATTTAGGTATATACTGACCCTATTACTTTAAGCTAATATCTAAAGCAAGATACAACAAATTGAAATTTAAAGAAAAATATTATGTTTTGGCAAATTTTGAAATGTGTCAAAGTTATAAATAATAACTTTCTTTTTCATTGTAGATGTGTTTCAGCTGTTTTAAAGGCTCTATTTTTTAAAATCTTATAGCAATTTATGCAACATTGTTTCACAATATTTTAAAGCTTCTAAGTATTGCTTTCTGTCTGTCTGGAATCCCCTAAAGTAACACCGAGCAGTTTCCTGCTCCTCCGCCCTACTGGTTGAAAGTGGACAACCGTGCTGCAGTCTGTTGTAGCTAGTGCTACCACTGAGCTAACGCTAACATAAGCCAACTAATACTAAAATAAACCACAAAGTGAAAAGATTCACACAGTTGGACAAAAAATATTATACTTACAAGTCCAGTACCAACAAAGCCAGGTCACCATTAAGCCGGGCGTACACTGTGCGACTTGTTCCACTTTTTTGAGCCGATTTTCCACTCGTGCGAGAATCCACGAGATCGGGGCGAGTTTTGCGCTGAGCGTCGTGTAGTATACAGGGGGTTACGAGAGGCGATTAACACCACGTGACCAGCTACCGATCAGCAATCGTGAGCTCGCACAAACTTCTGGCGTGTTTAATATTTTGCTCGTCCCTCGTGAGGGTATCGCACTGTTGAAGCAGCGCTGCGAGCAGCTGCGACCCAAAAAGTATCAGAACCGCTCACGGCGCATGCGCAATCATGCATCAACACTGCTCGCCCGCTATTTCCCTAATAACACACGTTGTTTGTTTTTATTTCTACACGTTTTTTTTTTTACTCACAAAGATTGTCAAGAAAGCGTGTTTGTCGTGTTCATGTCAAATTAATCTGATCACAAAACACAGATTTACTTTCTTTATTTCGTTTTCCTCATCCAACCCCCATAAATCCCTGTGTGTCCTCCTGCAGCACTCCCGAAGGACAACAGGCAAAACAAGACAAAAAAGTCTGACGTGTTGAGTAAAAACTGCTATTTTTAGCATATTTTTAGGTCCGACGTGTTGCTACCAGACGTGCAGTGTGAGCAGTCAGATCGCATCCGAGAACTGGGTCGTACAGTGTGAGCACATGACTCGTGAGATCTGCTCTGCGAGGAAGTCGTACAGTTTACTGCTAGATTTTGCCATGATGTCAACAGAAAAGGCAGAGTTCTTCTTTTTGTGTTTATTATTGACGATTGGTGAACTGAAAATTCTAACCGCTAGCATTACAGCGAACAGCCGTTTAGCGATAAAGAGTGTGTTTTTTGATCAAGTGAGGGCCACAGAGGGGTGTCAAATTTGTAACTAGTCAAGTTTCTAACTCAACGGTCACTGAGATTAATGTTAATGCTAGGGATGTGCTCTGGTAAAATTTTGGCGATATGTGTCACGATACAAGGGAGACGATACAATATATCACGATATATTGTGATACATTCAGTCTAACGCTATTAGCAATTTTTAGACTGATTCTTTTTGTAGGAATATTCAATAAACAGTCCAAACTGATACTTAACATGTTTAACATGAGGTATCTAAACCATAACAGAGGGATTTACATTTCAATGGTGGAAACCAAACCCATTGCACACTGCTGCTAAATGGCGGTCAGTGTTTGAATTGCACCAAAAACAAAAGAAAATACACACATGTTTGCATGTCAGTTCTTCCAAAAATTAGATACAGGGATTTTGAATATTGATATATTGCAGGATAAATATCACAATATATTGCCATATAGATATTTTGTTACATCTATTGTTAAACCTTTTGCTTAAAGTGTAATAACACATCTATTGCTACTTTAATATTTTGGCCAAAGAGAAAGAAACAAAACATCCTAATATAAAATCAAAAGCACATAAAAAAGTAATAGTTGCACGAACCACTGTGAAACTTTGGAAGTTGAAGCAGTCTTCAAACAACAGCAACACATTGTGGCCTGAGCTGCACACAAATTAGTTGTTAGCTTATCAGTGCTGTCTTTAAAAGGCTGTTCAGGAAGTAAGATGGTTTTAAGCTTTGGCCAAACTATCCATTTGCAGGTAACGGGGTTTTTGAGTCAGAAGAGTCAGAAACATGGCTACATATGAGAGGAAATTACTCAATGTCAAATAAAAAGGAGCTGCTGTTTTGCAGGATTTTTGATTTAACTGAACTGATGTTATCATACGAAACCCTCCCACTTTCCCGCACCCAGAATATGATTATTTGAGCAATCCTGGTGATGATTTTGTTTTGCCAACATTCAGAATTCTCATCGTGACTCGGAGGTTTTTCTTGGCACTTGTAGCAATAAAGGTCTGGAGGTTAATGAGCTCTGACTGTGAGTGTGAGGGCTTTAATGAGGCCTGATCAGGGCGACTGAGCAGAGTCACTTGACTGTGAATTAGATGGGAAACTGCATGCACAAAACACCGTATCTGTCTATAACACTGCTGCATCACAACTTCAGCTACATCCATGCTGCAGCGGCATGGAAGCTTAGTCATGGCTCATACTGTCCTAAGCTGCGTTTCAGTGTGGATCAGCACAAGTCAAGACACTTCTGTTGTTGTCATCCTGAGGAAATGGTCATTTCCTGAATTCACAGTTTCCCAGTCGGCATCATCTGTAAACTTTTCCGGCTCTGCTAACTTACGGATCTGAAGACAGCCAGAGGAAAGACTTTCTGTGTTCTGAAACGTGAGCATGTTCCAGAAGATCACTCTGACGTCGGCTGGAGCTCGTTTCTAACGCCGCTCTGTTTCCACTCTCAGAACATTTCTGACATGAGATCTCCTGGTGACCCTTGTCTGGAACGTGCATTGACTCGGGAGCTCTCACGTGAGTCTCGGACTCCCCAGAGAGAGCGGTGTCCAGCATGTAAAACATCAAGTGGGGGAAATGCCAGTGTGGGACCATTGTTTGAGTCTGGAGACTTTTTCTTAGCTGGGAACGGAGGCTGAACTCTGACATGTTTCTCAGCTAACAGAATGCCACGAAGGGACATGAATCACATGGTTCACCTTTAAAGTAGTTGACTGTGGAGCAGCAGGAAAGACCAGTAGCACGCTATTCATTACAGTGAAATCCTGAGAAATATTCCATGCCACCATATACAGATCTATGCAAAAAATTGGATATTTTATAATGTTTGGAAACTTGAATATTTTAAAGAGGTCCTTCATTGAGGAACCATTCTTTACTTCTTTTTAATTAATAATTTTTTTTGAAAATTGTATGTTTCTCTGAGTTTTTCATGCAGGCTGAACATGAAAATAGTCTCCTACACCTATCTCCTGCATTAGCTTCTAATAGAAAATAGACTGTGAAACCCTAGGATTTAAAAATCCCGACAGATCTACTCTCACTGTCACTTAACATTCATCGACTCGCCCATCTTGACTCATGACAAGGAAGGCTGTTGTTGTCTTAGCGCCCAGGAAACGGCAGAGACAGTCTCGGCTAGTAGAAGCTAACTGTTAGCATTAGCAACTTCACCACACAGCAGAACTCCTCCAGGCTTGTAGTATTTCTGGAGATAAAACATAAACAATGCAGAGTAAACAGAGTCAGTTAGCCAATCAGCGGCGATATGCCCAAATATGAGGAAATAAGAGTCCAAATCCTGCTGTCTGAAGAAGCTACCTTCACCTCTGGCTGGATTCTCCATGCTGAAACAGGTGCACCAGAGCTTTTTTTCCCCCCGGAGTATGACTTGCAAGGCATTCACTTCTACTAGAGACCACTGAAAATGAATTGAAAATACAAGTCAAGGAACTCTTTAAATTATTACAATAAATAATTATTATTTATTGTAATAATTTAAAGAGTTTGAAAATATTATGATTATGAAAATAATCGTTAGTTGCAGCCCTAAAATAATAACTCTTCGATCTTCTGGAATATATTTTTTTATTTATTTATGGGAAAAACTTCAATATTTCCTGGATCAAATTCTGAAATTTGCCAGAAAATAACTGGTATTCTATGATTGATAGATTATAAATTTGCAAGAAAGAAAGTTAAAATCCCTTTTAAAATGTAGTAGTTGAGGATTGCTGTAAAGACACCGACACCAGTCAGTGACTCAATGCCGCCTACTGGGTTCCTTATTTAGGAAACTTTTTACTGATTGGCTTAATGAACTGACCTGTATTGGTATGTTTACTTTGTGAAGTGCCTTGAGACGACTCAAATAAACTGAATTGAATTAATTGATCTCACTTGAATACATAACATCTGATATACTATTTGTATTTGAATCAGCCACTGATGATCAAATATCTTTCTTTTTTATGTTGTTTTTAGGCCATGGTTGCTTGTTACCCTGGGAAGGGGACGGGTTACATCCGTCATGTTGACAACCCAAACGGCGACGGACGCTGCATCACCTGCATCTACTATCTTAACAAGAACTGGGATGTCAAGGTGCATTTATGTATTCCTTTACTTATAAGAGAAGCGAAACCACAACAGCTGTGCATTTTGTTGGAGACTGATCTTTGTGTGCATCTGTCGTTGCAGAAGCAAGGAGGACTGCTGCAGATCTACCCTGAAGGCAAAAATGTGGTGGCCAAAATTGAGCCTTTGTTTGACAGGCTGCTCATCTTCTGGTCTGATCGCCGGAACCCACATGAAGTCAAACCAGCCTACGCCACTCGGTCAGTAGCTCCACACTGGAAGCTGTGGGTTTTATTATACTCCTTAATCCAGATGATGAATAGCACCACACACACACACACATACTGTTGCAAAGCCATAATAAAGATTTTCACAGCCAAGAATCTCACCGCCATCCTTAATCCCTTTGTCTCCTCTCCTCTAAACCTAACAGCTCTGTTAATCATGCTTGTTTAGTTTAAAATCCAATCAGTCAAAAATCCGTGGAAATAAAACCAACTGGCCAGCTGTGTAACGAAATCAGGGTGCACGGCGGTGGATGTTTCCCTGATGCCGACATGATATTGACCCGCTGTGTGCATAAACACTCTCGCACAACGGGCTTATTTACATCATTGCAAGAAATTGTTTTGTCCAGCCGAAATCACGTGAAACTGAGCCTTCCTGCCGTCCCTGCCGGACAGCTGGTGGGGGGGGGGGGGGGGGGGGGGCAGGAAGTGTGTGCTTCCTGAGGAGTTCAGTGGAAGGGGGTGGAAGGTTTGATAGCAGGACTCATGCAACACACACACACACACACACACACACACACACACACACACACACACACACACACACACACACACACACACACACACACGCACACACACACGAAACAGGAATAAACAACAAAGCCCCACATGAGGGATAGGAAACTGTAGAAATGAACTCTCTGATGTCCTGGACTTTCTTTGTTCTGGACCGTTATTCAGCAGTGTTTATAAATAGACTGGTCTGCATTTATTGGACAGTTATTGTTCATCATTGTATTGATTTTGTTATTTTTTGGGTAGGGGTGTAATTCCTAGGGATGATCCGATCACATGATCGGAAATCGGCCCCGATCATGTGGTTTCAGACTGATTGGGACTCGGGCTTTACTTCCCGATCCAAGCCCCGATCCGGAGTTGGATACTGGGTTCAAATTACAGGAGAGCAACTTGGTTCTCCTTAAAGGTTGTCAGGCTCCCCTGATGCCCTTAACTTACACACCCAGAAGGAGCACAATAGAGATCCAGTTTCTACCTATGTTATGTTATTTACATGGACTCAGCATAGCGGGAATTCTTTTGAGCAGAGATGCAGAGAGCGGCAGGCAGACCGCTGGTTATTCACGAACTCCAGCAGCGTTCTGCACACGGCCACAGTAACATTTTCCAACTTTCTAAGTGGTGTCACCATAAAATATATAATTAAAACACAGTCATTCGTGTCCATTCACGTTCTCTCTGGTAAGTTCTGTCTGTATTTGAGCATGACGTGTAGTCGCGCTGCAGCGCTCATCACTGGCGCAGCCGGGCAGCGCGGCGCACACTCCGCTTTTTTGCGGTCAATAGATCAATTTAATTTGCTTGTTAAAAAGTTACTTGTGAGGTGAAAAAGAAGGAAGCAGGCAGGAGTTTTTCTGGAGGACTGGGAGATGCAGGAAGATCAGAGACTGACGGGACAGGAAGATAGGAAAATAAAAACCAAGAAAACAAAACAAAGTTCTTAAAAATTTAAATGTAGGTAGATTGATCCCACTACACATTTGTACCTGTATAAAGCAATACTTTATCAGCATGTAGTATTTATATAGTTGATACAATTCAGATCATCTTCAAAACTCCGTCCCATGCCCAGGGACGTATCTAAGCATTTTGGGGGCCGAGGCAAAATAGACCCCTGCCAGGTATTTTAAGTTGAAGTGCTATCTGTTTTTGTATTAGACTTTTTATATTTGCAATAAAGTCCAAAAGTGAATAATTTATGTTATTTATTACTTGATTGTTCAAGCTATCTCACAGAAGTGATCTGTTGTTAAAAATTAAAATAAAAGGTAATTAAATAAAAAAATAAGGAACATTCTGGAACTGCTTCTTCCTTTTCTTTCTTTATTTTTTTATGTATTGAAAGTATCGGATCAGGACTCAGTATCGGCAGATTCTCAAAATCAAATGACTCGGACTCAAGGGCAAAATAACCTGATCGGGACACCCCTAGTAATTACCTTATAAGTTATTCCTAAAATCAAAACAATTTTAGCTAAAGAAGCTCTGGTCTTGGCTTTTTGTTGGTGAAGCTCTGATTCCTGTTTTTTACCAATCAGATCTCTGCTTTTGGATTATTTAAATATTTAACAATGTGTTCATAATAACCCCCCCCCCCCCCCCCCCCATTTTTTTACACATCTAATCTTCAACATCTAAATTCTAAATACCAGATTAACTCGGATTGCTTGAAGCGATTGTGAATTCATGAATAGAGGGGAAAATAAATTTATTTGCATACCAGTTAATGGCCAAGCTAAAATCAACCTATTCCAGGCTCCTGCTGAGCCATCGGTGCATCTCTAACATCATCTTCTTCCTTTTTCTGTGTTTTCTTGCAGCTACGCCATCACAGTCTGGTACTTTGATGCCAAAGAGCGGTCGGAGGCTAAAGAGAAGTACAGATTAGGTACGTTTTAATTATGACTCTAATATGATTTTTTTTAAATAATGATTCTAATTCTAGTTTTTGTTTTTCTTTTTTGCACAGCAAGCGGACAGAAGGGGGTTCAAGTGCCTGTCACTCAAAACGGCAGGTCCTAAATCTCCTGAAGCAATTGGCGAGCGCTCTCAAAGTATTCTGTGCCTTTTTTCGCTGCTAATGGACGTCGTTAAACAGTCAGTCGCTGCTGCAGCTGCTTTCTCGAATCACACCACGGCCTCTGGTGTGAGGGTCAGGCCGATCGGAGTTCTAGAGTCCGGTTATACTCGCCTAGATGGCGGAGGTGAGATCAGACTCAGGAGACGTAGCAGCAAAGAAAACTTCCCTCTGAGTCGCCCTTGAAGACCTGAATTTCTGGATTTTAATAATTTTTTTCTTTCCCTTTTTTTTTTTTTTTTTTTTGCCTGTTATTGTGTACGGACATGTGAACATTTGACTTTGTTCTGCCGAATGTGTCATTTAAAGTTAAAACACAGACGTTATGTGTGGAGGAACAGGTGGAATCTGTGTCCTGGGTTCATTATTCTTGTTTTCATGTGGCGTAGTCACCTAGTCGGTGTGTGTGTGTGTGTGTGTGTGTGTGTGTGTGTGTGTGTGTGTGTGTGTGTGTGTGTGTGTGTGTGTGTGTGTGTGTGTGTGTGTGTGTGTGTGTGTGTGTGTGTGTGTGTGTCCACGACAGAAAGGTCCTGATCTGATGATTAATGCTGAGGTAAATAGACTTTATCAAGCTAACAACATATTATATATACATAGAGAGAGAGAAAAAAACAGTATGATCTTTTTTCAACTCTGGTTTTTGAATATGTGATGCTCCATGAGTCTCACCCGAGTTGAGGTCCAGATGGACTCTGTGTTATGACCAACATGACAAACCTGTTGCAGAAAGCCTCTCAAAACATCTGCAACTCTAACAGACCCATGGGGCCAGTCAGGCTCCAACACCGTTAAAGCACAGATTCCAGGATGCCCTGTGTGAAGAGATGAGTGAAACCAGGTTTTATTTGTATTATTTTTGCTCTTGTGTGCGATCAAGTGTTCCTGTGTTCCTTCACACAGCCAGGGTCTCAGCGTTTGTTAGAATGGTTCAAACAGAAGATTTATTTTTTAAATGCACTTTATTTTGTTTCAGACGCCATTTGTGAATGATGGACAAACATTTGGGTTGATGTGGATGATGTGATATTCAGATTCAATACAAATGATAACGGTGAGAACAAATAAAAATGGTTTGCCTTTTTTGAAGTATTGGAAAATGTCTTTTTTTTCTATTTTATAAAAAAAATATTGCAGTATTTTTGGGATAAAGGAAGCAGCTCCAGACAATTCCTTTTAAAGAGAAAAACCAGAAGATGTATAGGAAGTTTAAAATAATTATTCTAAAGCAGCTTTAACCGTCCAGCTAAGAACTATCAGGACAGTTTTAACCGAGTGTGTTGGAGAAGATGAGCTGATGAGTATTAATAAACCCACACGGTCCAGGACGTGTTTGACACCCGAGCAGGGTTTCTATATTGCTAAAAATAAGAGAAATCAAAGAAATTCCATTTCTGAAATGTATTTCTGCTTCAAAATTCTGCATTTTATCATCAAATATAAATGCTAATAAATCTGAACACTAAAATGAGGAGAGCTGTAATTGTAGAAGGCACTCGTCACAATGGAAATGCTGGGAATCTGCCGCTGAGTCCCATGGTATAAATGGAAACCAGCAGCTTTCCAAGAACGGAGAGCAGCTTTTGCATCACAGATAAACCGGTGATGTCATCAAGATGGCCGACTCAGCTCAGCCTGGTACCCCCCTTCCAGTGTTTGAAATTGACCAACTAGATAGTAATTGATTGAAGTATGCTTATTTTTATGGATATGGGCAGGAGATCATTTATGAACAGAATGCTGATTCTCTGAACTGCGGTCATTCTACAGGTGCTACATATTTTTTATGTGATATTTTTATGAAAATATATTTCAAAAGACATTATCGTAAGTTTAATTTGCAATCTCCTAATCATTGTGCTTTCTAATTTGCCTGGAAGACTGGAAATAGTGGAAATAATCAATTTAATTACTAAAAAGTTGAAGAAAACTTTTAGTTGCACCAGGATTGAAGCTGAAATCAGACTAAAATGCACGAATTTAGGAAGAATTATTTAGATCTAAGAAAAATTGCACAATCCATCATTACGCTTTTATGTGAAATAATGTTTCTCTGACTGCTGAAAGGGGAGTTTTCTCTAACCAAACCCAGTTTGCCTTTTTTTAATGTAATAATACAAGCCAGAGCTTTTGAAAAGATAGTTACCACATTTATAAATTATTGATCTAAATGAAAAATCATCAAAAGTTGAAAACTGATCTGAGCTTCACCTGAAATAAATAAAAATCCCAAGAACCAAAGAAAAAGTATCCTAATTTGCTTTGCAGCATTATATATATATATATATATATATATATATATATATATATATATATATATATATATATATATATATATATATATATATATATATATATATGTATATATATATATATATATATATATATATATATATATATATATATGTATATATAAGTGTGTGTGTACACACATACACACACACACACACACACACACACACACACACACACACATATATATATATATATATATGCTGATGTTACTTTCAAATAGTTTACTTAATATATCACAAATAACACTTAGGAAAACCTGCTTAGGGCCCCTCATAGCCGTGGGCTTAAAATAGACATGAAACAAACTGAGTCTCGGAGAATCCAGCTGTTTGGTTGTTCCTAATATGAGGACAGACTTGCGAAGTGCAGGAAAATAAACATCAAGTTCATGTGAAACTGTTGGCTGTTTTTAGTCCAGAAGCCAAAATAGAAAGTCGGTCCTGTGAAACGGTTCAGTTGATTGAGTTCTGAGTGAGCTGGTAGCAAATGTAAAGCTTTTTAAATCATTATTCTGCAGCAACATAAACTACAGAGGGTGTAGCTTCTGGAGCACAAGAGAAACCCTAAACGCCAAAATGTTACAGTTACAGTTAATGACATGTATGTGGTTAATACAGCTAGCGACACATCCCAAATCATATAGATAGATTATATTATAACTTAGTCTGAATAAGATTAATTAAAATAAAGGCTCGTCTACTTGTCAAGATATGACTTTTGCCCCAAATTTAAAAAAAAATATATATATATGTTGATGGGTGTTTGCTTCTATTTTTTCTACATTTTAGATTAATTTACATTAATTTTATTTAGTTATTTTAAATGTATTGTAATGTCTTGGGTTGAATTAATCTAAGCCACTACGGAATGTTAAATAAATAAAAACAAATACATACATACAAATCTATTGTTCTGTTGTTTCAGTTAAATTCACGACTTCCACAATATAAAGACCTGATTAATAAAGGATTAAAACATATCTGAGCTGTTTTTTAAAATATAATTAGAACTAAAATGTTTTTTAATGTACTCGGCTTTTATCAACCTCAAATGAAATGAAAGGTCTACTCTGGCCAGTGTCATTGCTGGTTATGTTTTCAGTGGTCCTGTTCCTCCCCCCAGTGGTATAATCTCTGCTAAACCGTCAGATTATTTCTGTGATGGCAGATTTTACCACCAGAGTGCGTTGTTTAACATAGAATATTTTAAATGAAACAGATCTTTGTTAATCTTGCTTAATTTATACTTTCTAGTCCCTTTATTTTGAAGAACACACACACACACACACACACACACACACACACACACACACACACACACGACCCAAACTCCTGTTCTATCTTCTAAGATCTATTGCTGGGACTTAAGAGCGCTCAACAATGTGACTTATCTTAACAGAACAAGGTCTCAACAACCAGAAAAATCCGGAATCAAATGTGAACAGGCTCAGAACAGAAAAAAGAAAGAAGCACATGATCTGTCAGCGGGTGCATCAAAGACGTGTGGAGGAACATTCTGCTCTTTACTTTGTGTGGCTCTCTCATAAATCTCACTGCCTTCGTTTTGCAAGGAGTCTGTTGCCAAGTGTAGGGAAACACTTTTAATTCGTCTTTCCAGACTTTATTTTTGAGATCCTGATGATGACATGATGCAACTCCTCCAAGCTCCTCTTGTAAATAGGCCTATTGCCACACAGCCCTTCAGCTGGGTGTGTAAAGATGGGTTTGATGTTTCAGCGTGTGTGTTTGTGTGTGTCGTCACCTCTGACCTCGACAACAATTCCGTGTAATGAAAGCTCTGCAGAAGTAGCGGCACACTGGGTCATTCAGGGAGAGGTTTGCGTACAAAACATCAACTCAAACGCAGGTAAACCTTTGCACACAGTACTTAAACACAGCTGCACGCGCAGGTGTCCGATTAACAGATGACTGTTTTATGCAGAATATGAATCAAATCAAAGAATAAAACAAAGAATAAAGTGATGTCTTAAGCTCTATTAAAGTAGTCCTTTTCCTTACCTTTTGTTCTACCTTTACAGGCACATTTCTGTTTGCACCTGCTCATGGTCAAACCCGTTTCAACTCATTTACATTTGTGCAGCACTGACAACAGTAAAAGGAAAGAGCTGTGTCATTTAAAAGGCTAAACACGCCCCACAAAGCATCTAAACCATTACGTATGAACATTTTAAGCTCACGCACCTGTGGTATGTGCTCTGACTTCATAACGTTG